AGAACTAATTCTCTGGGAATTTCAGGGCAATTCATCATTTTGCTCTATGTTTTATGATGCCAAAAAATGTTGCATGCGTACATTATAAGATGGAAATTTAGGAACATACTCGACAACTGAAAATAGAAATCTGAGATAATTTCTGTTTTCATTAGAATGTTTTATTAAATCTTCATTTTATGTTTAACCCTTTTTAAATTGTGGGTTGTTTACTTTCTGGCTATCAAGCTGTTTCATGGGAAGGTCTCAGGCAGTAGTGAAGTCTTGGGAGAAAAATGTTGTAACTTTTTACAAATAAAGTGTTTGGGGAATGGTATTTCTGCTCAACATTTGTGTTGCTTTTGAATTTTTTTCCACCAGAGAAGATCTGTGGGATCGTATAGCTGGAACATTGCAGTTTGTATGGGAATAAACACAACTGCTGTAGAGTACTCTTCATGATAGGGTTTTGTTTAGCTGTTAGATTTGTAACAAAATGAGTATTTACTATGAGGTCTTGGTTTTAAAAATGTTACTGACCTAAAGCAGTTAAGAGCATTTCAGAGGCTACCGAATTACAGACGTATCAGTAAGAACAAATTTAAAAGCTGTGTCTTTTTCCACATAAGCTGTTTCAAATATCTAACCCATCTATGCTATGTCAAAATGGGACATACTGGTACATAACTGAAGGCTTATTATAAATTGCATTGGCTTATTATTTTTGGTACTAAATAACTCTATGTTTTTTCTTACCTGTGAAACTAAAATGGCAGTCCACATCTGTCTAAACCTATGAAAATTAACACCGGCTTTTATTCTTTATGTGTCAGAGAGAAATATTTCTAAAATATTGTTAGTTATGAATGCTTTTATTTTTCTGTGTTATTAATAATTCTAGGGATTTTTAAAAAAACATTTTACAACAATTCCTTTGACAATGACTTATTAAGTTGAAGCTAATGTTTTGTGTATGAATATTTTTAAATACTCAAAACCAAAGTAGAAGTACAAAGCACACTACTGGTTATTTTGTGTGAGACAGTTTAGAATTACTTGGAGAAGTTGAGGGGTCAGTTTAATGAACAGACAGACAAAATGCCATAGCTCTAAATTCATCTTCTGATTAGGTATACTTGTGGTTTGGTGCTATCTCAAGTAGGTTATTTTGGCCATTATTAGTGCAGTAGAAAAATGAAACTTCTTCATTTTAAGTCTTGCTGTGTTTGTAGTAGTACTTGAAGAATAAAGGAGGAGAATGGAGATAACTATATGTAGGGATGAAATATGAGGTCATATAAATCAGATATGAAATCCTTTGTTATGACATTATTTACTTACATGGAACAGGAATGGATGCTGTGGGTTGTGAAATACTTCGTGTCTTTGGCTTGGGTTGATTTGTCTTTCTCAATTTCTTTTGACTAAAGCAATGCTTTCTGTATGTCCACATGCATAAACTCAGCAGCTCTTGGCCACAGACAACATGATTCAATCAACATCTTCCACTACAACTTTCTGGTGAGCTGAGGTGCAGATTCAAATGTTTGTATTTTTGTTCTAATTTTTCAAGGCTGGAGGCTTCAAACCCCGAAGCTGTCCATGTCTGGTTAGAGGGTTGCATGCTGCATTTGTAGAGCAGCAACCACATAAAGCTGTAGCTGCTCTCTGTCTGGTAACCCAGCAAAAGTACATGGCAGGGCTACAATGAGCATGTGTTTCAGTTATGAGTTCTCATCCCTAAGATCTTATGGGATTTTGTTCTGTTCCTTCATCTTTTTCGGACATTAAGTTTTCCCACAGGACTAGCTTTCCCCAGAGAGCTGGCATGGGCTGTATTTGGAGCATAGACCCTAATGGAAGTCCCGAGCACTGCCAACAATCCCTCCTGTCAGGCAGGCAGGCAGGCTGCTGCCTCCAGCTATGCTCCTCTGGACACTGTGGCACTGGCAGACTGGGTCACTTGTGAATGGGCCTTTCTTTGCAGCCACGTGCTCACTGGTGGTGGGGCCACCCGCGTTCTGCAGGCTTTAATTGGGGTGCTGCTATCGAGCTAATTTTGCTCTAGGGACAGTCGCAAGCCTTTAAGCCTTTCAGAGACTACCTTTAAAAATAGCACAGTGAACTGCACATCAACACAAGTGAAAAATGAGCACTTGTTCAGCTTTGTTTGATCTGTTGGCAGTGCCATTGCTATCCTACAAATGGTCTGTGACCACGTGTCAGAGGATTTGTGGGAAGGTGTGGGGTGGAGCGCTGTAGTATGCTGTGATTCTTAGCTCTGCCTGGCTCTCACTCAAGCGGAAGTTCACCTGATATGTTTGAATTTGGAGTATTTCACTCAGTTTCAGAGTCATGAATATACTTTCACAAGTTAAACCCATTTTGGAGCCTATTTACTTTGTGAAATTTGAGAAAGGAGATGGACTAGTATATAGGTAGCTTTCATATTGCTCTAATAAAATGATACTTTCCTGTGATGCCCTTCTGTCATTACTGTTTCCAGCTCCTGTACTCTTAACTGGTAAAGCTTATCAAGGAATAAACAGACTCTGTCTGGGGAAGATACTCCAAAGTGGGAATTTTTGGTAAGCCTTAGAGAGGAGATGTTTGTTATGATGGAGTGGCTGGGATTCAGATGTCACATCATCTCTTTTGAAGTCATACAGGTTTTCTTATTGCCCACAAAAGTGAGCAAATGAAGGTTAAGTTTTGGGGTTGCTTTTTTAGTTTGGTGTTTGTTTTTTTTTCCCCAGCAGTCCAGCCCTAGTTATTCATTTTGAGTGTGCAAACGTTGCAAAAGCAGCTCATACTGCATGTGGGATCACTAAGCACGCCCTCAGCCACCGTAAGAGTGTCCAGTTTCACAGGGACATGCGTGGAACTTACGGTACAGGCAAAGAGTCCAAGTTTCTTCTCTCCTGCTGGGAAGTGATGGATAGCAAGGAGATGGCTGGAGGAAGACATATTCTTGCTGCCTGCTGTGAGCAGGTAGCATTACTGCCCCAGTAGAAAGGCAGGGTAGCACTGTCATATTCTCAAAGATGCTGTTGTTTTGTCCTTTTAAACTGTACACTTGCTTAGAAGCATGGGAAGTTGTTTTTCCAAAGCTCTGGAAAGTCTGAAGTTCTCAGGAGTGTACTTGTGTAAGGACGCCCAACCTTTTAATGTGTGAAACATCTCCTGTGTGAGATCTTTGGCAGGTTGACAGATATGAAAGACAGTAAAAAAATACATAGGTATGTAGGGGGGAGAGAAGTGTAGATATATATTTAATATGGTTATTTTACTTCTACTGCTCCTGTGACATGCAGATTGTTTGCCACTTGTACTGAACACAGTAGTTTTGAGAAAATACAAGCTGTTCTGAATTTTGGCAATGTGAGCTCTACAAAACTTCCAGGAAAATTGGAGATACCTGCAATTGCACTTAACAAAAATAGAAAGTGAGTTTCACAGACTCTGAAATTTGATAGGCTTTCACTTTGATTTAAACTGGCATGTTTTTTCCAATTCTCTGAAAGAGATACTTCATTAGAACAGACCTACCTATTCAACATATTCCAAAACCATGAGGGTGGGGCCACATACTTACTTCCAAATGGCAACATCTTCAGTAAGGTAGTTACTAATTAAAAGTTTCTCCTAGCTCATATGCTAAAACTCTAATTTGCAATTTTATGTATATTATTAGCATAAGTATTTTTAAATTATTTCTCTATTGCTTAGTTTTTTCTTAATAATTGAGACATAATTTTATATTTATACACGTGCTTCTGTTAACAGCAGCAATTAAATAACATTCTGCAATGTATTCTTGTTCTTCTTTCTGAATAGGCACAAAGCATAGGCTGTTACCTTTTAAAGAATGTATACAGTAACATACAGGCTTTCAAAAATTAGACATATAGCAAAACAAAATTACTCTATCCCATCTTTTCAACCTGTTTTAAGTGTGTGCATATTGTACATGCGAACCCCCTCACCTCACAGATATGGCATACATATCTGAAGCTTAGAAGACTTTCTCATGTCACTTAAAATCCAGCCTGTGTTTTGTTTTCTTCTTATTTTCTTTATTCATCACTTTAAAAGTATGAATCTGGACTGTAATTAACAGATTATTACAATTAGATTTCTGGCTATAGCCACTTTATTAGCAGTGTAGCAATCCTGCCCTGCAAAGTAGATATTTGAGACTCGGCAAACCATATTTCCACCTTTAGTATATCTTAAAAGACCAACTTGGCAGAGTGTCTTTGTGAGTGACATTGTTTGCAGTCTAGCCGATTTGGCTTATAAACAAGAAGTTTAATATTTTTAGTTGCTATAAGTTATTGTTAAGGAAAGCAGGACTACTCCCAAGTAATAAATAAATAATAATGGCCAGTCTTCGCGAGCGAAGATCCGGGGAAGGTCTTTCCACCTTCCAGCCTGCGCATTGGATTTTTTTTTTTAGGTGAGACACAGTGTGCGCGGAACTGAGCCCACCCTTTAATCCTAAGGTTCATCTGCCAGGGCCAAGCGAGCTTGGACGGTGGCAGCGAGGTCCTTAGGACGTAGATGGGTTGCCTTTAAGGGCTAACGAGCCCCACCTGCCCGGGACTCCCAAGTAAATAGGGTCAATAAAACATATGTAAAACATATGTAATGACTGGTTACTGGAGGAGTGGGCAGCTGCTTGGGAGAACCAGGTGAAATATGAGTATATGTTGGTGGGAGGGAATTGAGGCAGATAGTGCCTGAGGATATGTTGTTCCACTGCTCTGCATTGCTGTTCCTGCCTTCTCTCTCCATAGGAATTAACAAGGTTCCCCCTGTTTGTGAGGAGCTACTGTGGTACTGCAGTTCCCAACTGTTTTTTTGTGTTAGTGTGCTCTGGGCTAAGGATGGAGAGGATGACCTGAGCACCATGTGCTGGATGTGCTGCAGAGAGGGGGTTTCCTTCAGAGTTGTGCTGTTACCTTTAAATTAAATTAAAACTGATTAACCTGTTTTGTTTTTCTTCATCTCCGTTGTAGGATGGATCACTGGGAAATATTGATGATCTGGCACAGCAGTATGCAGACTACTATAACACCTGCTTCACAGATGTATGTGAGAGGATGGAAGAGCTGCGCAAGCGGAGGGTCTCCCAAGACCTTGACTTGGTATGTAGAGAAGTTATGACTTTATTAGCAAATTTTGCCATTCATGCTCCAGATGAAGAATCAATATTTCAGCTTGTTGAGTTCTGCCCAGGGAAATAACTATATGTGGTTGCATTCATCAACACAAATGTTTCAGCCAACTCAATTAAACACTTGGAAATTAGCTGGATTAGTTTTTTTCTTGGTATTTGTTATGATTCATTAAACCTTGGAGTCTGCACTTCTTATCTCTTCTTTAATTAGAGTACTTTTTGTCCGTGCACATTTGCTTGCAAACCTCAACCCTCAGAGGCAAGATAATGTCTGATGAAAGCATCCTTTCCTTGCTCCAAGATGCCTGCTGTGTGAGCACAGTGAAACCGTGTGCTGTTTCTCAGTTGCACTGTACAAACTGTAAAGTAGTGCCTCTCAGAAGTGCAAGGTGCAGATACTGGTTCCAGGCTCCCAAATGTAACCGACCTCGATCCTGTGTACCCTTTTCCATTATTGTGTGTTACAGAACCTGTAGCAGACATTCAGGTGTAGGAGACATTCAGTTCACAGAGCCCTTCAGGACGGAAAGGATGTCAGGAGGGCTATGATCCATCCTTCAGCTCAAAGCAGTGTCAACATTGAATTCAAACCAGGTCGCTCAGAGCTTTATCTGGTTGAGTTTGAAGACCTCCAGTGATGGAGGCTTTGCAGCCTCTCTGAGCAGCCTGTTACACTGCTTTGCTGTCTTCACAGTGAACTTTTATTTTTTTCTGATATTCTGTGAAGTACTCCCTATGCCAGTTTATGCCTGTTGTCTCTTGTTCCTGTGTCGTGCACCTTTTGCATAACCACCCCATAGGTACCAGCAGGCTGACAGTAGGTCTTCAAACTGTCTTTTCTGATAACTGAATCTTCCAGCTCTTCTTGGAGGGCAAGGGCTCAAGTCCTTGAAAGCACCTTTGTAACCCTCTCCTGGACTTGTTCAAGTTTATTAATGCCCACCCAGCATGCAGGAGTGCAGAGTCAGAGTCAATGGTCTGAGAATGGTCTTTCCTGCTGTGTGCCAGGGAAGAATTACTTCCTGTGATCTCCTGGCTGTGCTGCTGTTGACCCAGTCTGGAGTGCTGCTGGCTGTTATTGCTGCCTGGACATACCGCTGGCTTGTGTTAAGCTTACTATCACACGATCTTTTCTGCAGAGTGGGCTGACTGAGCCAGTCAGTCACAAGCCTGTGCCGGTGCATGGGCTTGCTCCTCTTCAGGAGCAGGACTTGGCATTTGTCAAGTGCTGACTTGTATAATACAGACAGAAACTCATAGCTAAAGTATAGTTTATACCTCTACTGAGGCACAGCAGTATTGTGGCAGATCCAGAATGAGATCTGATCACAGTTCTGCAGTTCCTTTACCAGGTCAAATCCTTTAAAACAAATTTGGGAGCTGAAGCTGCTTGATTGCATCTTCTGCCTTTGCTTCCCCAGATGACAGAACTGACTAACAGCAGGGAGTGGTTTGATTCCTTTCTCTAGAAGCTGTACCTGATGATGTGAATTACTTAAGGCTACTTACTTTCTTCTTGGGATTCCAGTATAGCAACTGAGAGGCTCCAGAGCTTGAACAGACTACAAAATTCAGTTACGCAATGAATGGCTGCAGGATCAAGGCAGAGGGAGTCATCTCCTCTGCTCCACTGCACTTTGTTAGTTCCTTCTTTAGTTTTAAATGAAAAAAAAAAAACAAACCAAATGTATTTTGCAGATCTGTTGGTGCCAAAAAGTTCCAAGGGTTAAAAAAAAGGTTATTGCAGGAAATCCTTCTGTAGGCAGACCCTTGGGGCTTCCGTGCAGAGAAGCTGATGGCGCAGAACTGTGGAAACCCCCACGCTTAGCAGGCCTGGTGTTCGGGGTAGCTGTTGGCAGCAGCAAAACTCCTTTCCTGGTACTCTTGGAAGGCAGCTCCTGTGCTGAGTAATGAAGTGTGCCTTGTGGGGGGAGAGGACTCCCTTCCATTTAGACAGATGGGCCTAATTTGTCTCCCTTCACTTCTGAAGCTGCAGAAGCCAGACTAGAGAAAGCCATGTGAGCTTAATTAACTCACATCAAAGGTGCAGATCTTCACGCTGGTTTAAATAGATGTGAGCTAATCCAAGACAGACCAGCGAGTGATTCAGTCTACTCAAGACAAGCTATAGTCAGAGAAAATGGCTGTGTGAAAAGACATCCTGGAGATTCCTTTTCTGGATCTCTGATATTGAGTTTCCTCACTCTAGTGGTCCAGTGATGACTTCTTGAACTGTCAGGTCAGAGAGAAGATATTGCAATTTAAAATTAAATTATTGCTCAATATTTGCTACATCTGTAACTCCTATAATGCAGTTTCTGGACATAAAATAGACATTCTGCTGATAACATGTGAGGCTGTAGATATTAGCTCACTTGCACAACAACAGCATCCAAACAGCGCTGACTGCAGCTGAAACTTGCTCTCATCAATAAGTAGGCAGGTTTGACTTAGCTACACAAGGAGGGGGAAATGGCCATGTAGACTAGAATGCGTTTTCAGTCTGATAGAGTAGTATGCCTTTTTATAATCTGCTGTAGAAACAGGAGTTGGTTTAAACAGCAGAGCTGCTGAAGTGACAGCAGAAGTACTAATGTGAAAGACAGAAGAGCATCTCTTTTGTTGAGATTTTTTTCCTTTCTTTACGTTTGTTAATTTGTTTGTTAATGTTTTTATCTTTCTTTCTTGACAAAAGATAGTGTATTGGCACAGGTTTTTGGATAGTGAATGGGGACTAATGCTGGGGGAAATGCCAGCTTCACAGCATGTCCCAGATGTGCTGTGTTTTCAAAAAGATATGGACCAGATAGCAAATATATGCAGCCCCAAAATTATTACACATCCATATTATTGGGCTGTTGGTCTAGCCTGACTTTGCTCTGCCATGCATTGCTCTTCCATAAAGGGTGAGGAGCAACAGTGGGATTGTGCTAGAGCTGGAGGTGAGCAGTGTATCAATTCTTCCTCCCCTCCACAATGGTCTTCTTGCTCTCTTTAGCAAAGTGAACAGAGCACAGCTGATATGCATGGAGCGTTAGTGCAAATTTTCAGGGGTTTACTGGAGTCAGGGTTACTGAATCAGTATGAAAATGCACTATGAGTGCATAATAATACACAGCAGAAACATAAAAGGCCAAAGTTAGGTTGCTGCTTTTACTGAAGTGCCCTGAACAAAGAGAAGGAGCGGGTCACCCCAGGGGTCGAAGCGTCCTCTAAACCCTGCACAGAGAGGCTGCGTCAGAAGGAGCAGTGTAATAACAAAGACATGCCTGAGCTGGCAGAGCTTTGCCAGGAACATGTATTTAGCACCGGCTCGCCCAGATTGCCCTTTGTAGTGCGCTCACTGGAAGGATAGAAATATGAACTATTTATTGCTGCTTCTGTACACTTTGAAATAATTTTAAGTTGTTTGGGAGCAAGTGTTGATATCTTGATTGTGTATTGTACTTTCTAATCAGCTCTCCAACCTTTCCTATTAGACCATGGTAATTTCAGTGCAGATATCCTGCTCTGAAGTTGAATTTTTAAAAAAATTACTTGGTAAAATTGTTTGGGAGAGCAGCATATCTTGTAACAAAACAGTGGGTGCAGGTGGAGCCGAACACAGAGTATTTTTCCAAATGGTATTGCTGTCAAGGACTGTTAGTTGGTCCCTAAATAAGATAACTGCTTTTTGTGTTTGGAATTTTGCCTGTGTTTTTGTAATGAAAAATGTGCTTGGGTTTGCACATTAATGGTTGTGAACAGCATGGGAGTTGCCCACATTTCCTAGCACTTTGCCTATTCCTGTACGCCATGTGGTTTTTTGGCCGAGGTAAAACTGAAGGTGGAATAGATATAAATGGATTTTCAGACCCATGATGGATGTGTCACTGGTAATACTGAGGTGGACATCTGCTAAAATGCAGTTATGGTCAGAGAAGTGACTCTGAGGATGGTACTTTGCAACTGTTCATACAAATCCTTATCTTTAAATTGAAGAGACATGGGTTAGGCAGATGAACTACTGGTATATAAGGAATTGACTGGATGGTTGCACTCAAATAGTTGCAATGAACACCTCAATATGCAAATGCAAACCAGTGATGAGTGGTGTCCTCAGGGGTTGGTATTTGGACTGGTGCTGTTTAAAATCTTTGGTGATATGGACAGTGGGTTCAAGTGCATCCTCAGCAAATTTGCTGACAACACCAAGCTGCATGGTCAACATGCTGGAGAGGAGGGTGGCATCTAGAGGGACCTTGACAGGCTTGAGAGAGGGGCCTGTGTGAACGTCTTGTAATTTAATAAGGCGAAGTGCAGGGTCGTAACCTGGGTCAGAGCAATCCTGAGCACAAATACAGGCTGGGTGGAGAATGGATCAAGAGCAGTCCTGAGGAGAAGCACTTGAAGGTGTTGGTGGATGAAAAACTTGAAATGGCCAGCAATATGTGCTCACAGCCCAGAAAACCAGCCACATCCTGGGATGCATCAAAAAAAGGCACGACCATCAGGTTGATTGAGGTGATTCTTCCTTGCTACTCTACTCTGGTGAGACCCCACCTGGAGTACTGTATCCAGCTCTGGGATCTCTAGCACACAAAACATATGAACCCGTGTGGAGTGAGTCCAAAGGAAGGCCATGAAAATAAGCAGAGGGCTGGAGCTCCTCTCCTATGAAGACAGGCTGAGAGAAATGCAGTTTGTTCAGCCTGGAGAAGAGAAGGCTCTGGGGAGACCTTATTGTGGCCTTCTTGTACCTAGAGGGGGCTACAGGAGAGCTGGAGAGGGACTTTTCTCGAGAGCATGTACTAATAGGCCAAGGGGTAATGGCTTCAAACTGACAGGGCAGCTGTAGATTAGATGTTGCTAAGAAACTCTTTACTGTGAGGGTGGTTAGGCACTAGTACAGGTTGTCCAGAGAAGTTGTGGATGCCCCGTCCCTGGAAATGTTCAAAGCTAGTTCGAATGGGTCTTGGCAGTGAGATT